AGAGAAAATTGTTTACGATGACACAAAAGAAACAGGAGAAAGGATAGGTTATGTTTCACCTTTGCTGGAAAGACTGCTGACCAATAAATCAGCGGTGCAAATGCGGTGAAAGTGGGTTGAGCTCACTCTGTAAGCTCCAGCTCCTCATGCAGGGACATGAGAGAAGCCTCCCAAAAGGATGGTAAAACATCAAAACTGTGGGGATTTGGAAAAAGGCACCATGATGTAATGGGTTGACTGATAAGGCATGTGTCGGCAGCTGATTGACTAAGCCAGTCAGGAGCCAGAATTCTGATTGGCTACTGTCTCTAGCTTGCTGCTGAGAGAAACGGTTCTAACTGCCACTTTCACCTCGGAGAGTGAAGAGAGTGCTGACTGGAAACAGCCAGGAAGGAAATGGCAGCTAACTCTCTGAAGCCTGATCATTTCTAAGGCATGAAGCACACTTCAAAGACTGTTTAAAAGGACTGTTTATTCCCTGCTGTATATATTGTTGCTGTTTGACCTTTTGAACTGAAGTAAAGTTACTGTTACCCGTTACACAAATCTGAGTGACACATTATTATACTGCAGGGTATATTTTGGTTCAGAAACAGTGGTAAAGCTTCTATTTATGTATATCTACAACCTCCAACAAAAACATCCAGGCAATCTCTGGGTAATGTCCTTGCAGACAGCCAATTCTCTCACACCAGAAGTAAGTTGCAGTTTTTCAAGTCGCTCCTGACATGAAGAAAAACAAACAAAAATATATCTCTCAGTTCTTGTGGGTTTTTTCGGGCTATATGGCCATGTTCTAGAGTCATTTCTCCTGACGTTTAGCCTGCGTCTATGGCAAGCATCCTCAGAGGTGAGGTCTGCTGGAACTGGGAAAAAGGGGTTTATATATCTGTGGAATGACCAGGGTGAGACAAGGCTTTTGTAAGTTGGGCTAGGTGTGAATCTTTCAACTGACCACCTTGATTAGCATACAATGGGCTGACTGTGCCTGGAGCAAACTCTTCTTGAAAGGTGATTAGATGTCCCTGCCTGTTTTTCTCTCTGCTGTTTTTGCTGTTGCAATTTTAGAATTTTTTAATACTGGTAGCCAGATTTTGTTCATTTTCATGGTTTCTTCCTTTCTGTTGGAATTGTCCACATGTTTGTGGATTTCAATGGCTTCTCTGTGTAGTCTGACATGGTGGTTGTGAGAGTGGTCCAGCATTTCTGTGTTCTCAAATAATATGCTGTGTCCAGGTTGGTTCATCAGGTGCTCTGCTATGGCTGACTTCTCTGGTTGAAGTAGTCTGCAGTGCCTTTCATGTTCCTTGATTTTGTTTGGGCGCTGCGTTTGGTGGTCCCTATGTAGACTTGTCCACAGCTGCATGGTATACGGTAGACTCCTGCAGAGTTGAGAGGATCCCTCTTGTCCTTTGCTGAACGTAGCATTTGTTGGATTTTCTTGGTGGGTTGTTTGTATGTTGTGTTTCCTCATCAGCTTCCCTATGCGGTCAGTGGTTCCCTTGATGTATGGCAGGAACACTTTTCCTCTGGGTGGATCTTCATCTTACTCTCGTGGCTTGTTCTTGGTCTTGCAGCTCTTCTTATGTCTGAGGTGGAGTATCCATTGGCCTGGAGGGCCCAGTTGAGGTGGTTCAGTTCAACTTGGAGGAGGTGGGTTCACAGATTCTTTTTGCACGGTCTGCCAAGGCTTTAATGGTGCTTCTTTTTTGACTTGGGTGATGGTTGGAGTTTTTATGTAGATATCTATCTGTGTGTGTGGGTTTTCTGTAAACGGTGTGACCCAATTGTTGATCTGGTTTACGGATGACTAGGACATCTAGAAAAGGCAGTCTTCCTTCCTTTTCTTTTTCCATGGTGAACTGGATGTTTGGGTGGATGCTGTTAAGATGGTCCAGGAACCTGTTGAGTTCTTCTTCTCCATGGCTCCAAATGGTGAAGGTGTCATCCACATATCTGAACTATTTGGTTGCTGTTTCCAGGGCTTGTTTTTCAAAGTGTTCCATGTAGAAGTTAGCTATGACTGGGCTGAGAGGGCTCAGTCCTCTCAGTCCTCCATCTTTCTGTTCGTAGATTTCATTGTCCCACTGAAAATAGCTGGTAGTGAGGCAATGGTGAAACAGCGCCGTGATGTCTTCTGGGAACCTCTGGTTGATGAGTGCCATGGTGTCTGCAACTGGGACCATGGTAAATAGAGACACCACATCGAAGCTGATCAGTTTGTCATTTGTATTTAGCTTGAGATTGCTGATTTTTTTCAATGAAGTGGGCTGAGTCCTTGATGTAGTGTGTTGTGAGCCCAATGTGGCTTTGTAACTGTGCAGCAAGAAATTTGGCTAAGTCATATGTGGGGGATCCAATGGCACTCACGATGGGTCTGAGTGGGGTGGAGTCCTTATGGATTTTTGGGAGTCCATAAAGCCTGGGTGGAAGGGCTTCCGATTTACATAGCTGCTGTCGTATGTCAAAGTTGATTGAGGAGTTCTTAATTAGAGTGTTGGTTTTTCTCCTTTTTTTCTGGGGCAATTATGGGGATAGCTGCCCATAATGGTTCTTGCTTGGAAATAAAAAAAACCTGTCCATGTTGTCACCTGCATCTGATTGTTATTTACTCCAAGCATCCATCTTCTCATGCTCTTCTTTCTCCCTAGTGCCGTGGTTCCCAGCCTTTTTTTTAACCCGAGACCACTTGACCAGGGACCACTCTGATCAGGCACTACTTTGACCAGGGACGACTTTGACCACTCTCCAACATTAGTACCAAAAGGGTTACAGATCGGTTTTTGGTCAACTTTAGATTTGGTTTGTTTCTTTGGGGTGCTGATTCAGAAAATTGCATTGGATAGACCACATCAGCTTTATACCATCCAGTAGTCGCCATCTGCTTGGCCACAGAAAACCATATTTAATAATCCAGAGCTGATGTGGTAGTAATAATATTTTGTGGGTAGTCAGCCTCTCCCCTCCCGACATCCCCGTTGTCTTGGCACTACAAGAAGGTGTTGTGAGACCAGTCACCCTCATTGCCGTGTGGTTTGAAGGCAATGGTGTAGTAGTGGTGAGGCCGTGGACCATATTTTTGTTCTTGCAAACCAAGTGTGGTCCACGGATCATACGTTGGGAACCACTACTCTAGTGCTATGCATCACATTGAAGGCATTTGAGTCCCAGGGCAACACTATAGATACTGCTGAGGAGTTGCTAAGGAAGAAAAAAAAAGAAGTTCATATTCTCAACAATAATAACATTAATGTGAGACTGCAAGATTTAGGAATTAGAAAAATATCGTTAAAGTAGAAGTGTGGCTTTATACTAGCATATAAAGGAAGTAGATTAGTAAGCGATATAGTCATCAGAGAGAGAGAGATTTGTAGATTTGTCATTTGTTTTTTCTGTCTGTTGGTTTCTATGGTGTGCAAGTGTGTTTATTCGCTTGTTTTATTTTTTTGTTATAATCCATATTTTAATAGGGACCTAGTTTTATTGTTTGTAGTTGCTGTAGGTTAAATGTAGATGTGCATGTAACCTTTTTAAAAAACTTGTTTGTATGTTCTGTTACAGCAGTGTTTCTCAACCCCTTAATATAGTTCCTCATGTTGTGGTGACCCCAACCATAAAATAATTTTACTACTTCATAACTGTAATTTTGCTATTGCTATTAATCGTAATGGAAATATCTGATAAGCAGGATTTATTTTCATTCAATGGATCAAATTTGGCACAAATACCAGATACACCCACATTTGAATGGTGGGACTGGGTGGGGGGGTTGATTTTGTCATTTGGGAGCAGTAGTTGCTGGGATTTATAGTTCACCTACAATCAAAAGAGCCTACTGAACTCCACCAATGATTAAATTGAACCAAACCTGGCACACAGCACTCCCATGACCAACAGGAAATACTGGAAGGGTTTGGTGGGCAGTGACCTTGATTTTTGGAGTTGTAGTTCACTTACATCCAAATAGTACTGTGGATTCAAACAATGATGGATCTGGACCAAACTTGGCACAAATACTCAGTGTGCCCAAAAGTGAACACTGGTGGAGTTTGGGAAAAATAGACCTTGACATTTGGGAATTGTAGTTACTGGGATTTAAAGTTCACCTACAATCAAAGAGAATTCTGAACGCCACCAACGATAGAATTAGGCCAAACTTCCCACACAGAACCCCCATGACCAACAGAAAATACCGTGTTTTCTGATGGTCTTTGGTGACCCCTGTAACACCTCCTCACAACCCCCCAGGGGTCTTGACCCCAAGGTTGAGAAGCACTGTATTACAGTATAAGATTTTTGTTCCTGGGTTACACATGTCATTTTCTATTTGGATCTATCATAAAAACATGGGAAAAGTTTCTTAAACTGCAAAAACTTTGTTTTTGCAAGACATCCCGCAGCACAGTTTGCTCTAGTCTATATAAATAAAAATGTAATGTTCGTTTGTGGGATTAACATAACTCAACCCAATGTATGTCCTTCACTCAAAAAAAAAAATGATTTTTTCATTTGGGAGTTGTTACTGGGATTTATAGTTCACCTACAATCACAGAGCATTCTGAACCCCACCAACGATAGAATTGGGCCAAACCTCTCACACAAAACCCCCATGTGGGCCACAGCAACGCATGGCAGGGGACGGCTAGTTTTTCAATGAATATCTCATAGAGTCTCAACCAATGCATGGAGAAGTTTTCCAAAACAATATTCTCAGTGCCAGCCCAGTGCTGTCTCGCATACCCATCAAGAGTTACAGCTGAGGCCAATTCATGAGAACTTCTGGGCTGGAACACGGCAGATCCAATTTCTAGTACTCTTCTGTAAGGACACTTACTGGTAGAATGAATGGCGATGCACTCTTTCAAAGTTAGAATTTTGACCATGGCTTCTTGGATTAACTCACTTTGCTTCATGTAAAAATCTAGCCTCAAGATGGAGCTGGCATCACTGCACTGACCAAACAAAAGTGTTTTCATCCCCAGAAGTGTGACATAAACACATTTGCATAAAACCCATTTAATACAAAAAGGAGAGAAAAACATTGTAGAAAAAAAAAGGAAATGACCTCACAGCACAAAACTGGAAACAGCATCTCTCTTTAGCCAAACTCAGACTACAAACCGGATCACAAAAGGCACATGGGGCCCAAAGATACGTGAGGCCATGATTCATGCTGTTCAGGTGATCCCAAAGACAACGAAGAAGTGACTGAGGGAAAACTGCCCCTTTAAGACTCTGCACATTTCTGTGTCCTGGAGTCAGGGACCAAAATCAGGCAAATTGGTCCGTATGTTCCACCTCTCAGTAACTGATGGGAAATAGCTTTCTATCTGTCCAGGAGCTGAAAACACAGTCCACAGACGGTGTCAGGAAGCTGCATTCCCTTCTGAGGATCCTGTTTCCATGATTTCAGAAGTCTTCTTTGAAGATCCGCAGTCTTAAAAGAGAATCACATACCTCCTTCCACAATCTGCCACTGAGGGTCAGCACTCGACACCATAGCGATCAAAGTTACGCAGAATGACAGTCAATTGGAGATGGACGGTGCCCATGGCGGAGGTTTGGAGGCGGTAGCGGTCAGCACCGGTGTAGATGAGGTCACTGTTGAGCAACTGAGGCCCGCCGCCCACAAAGAGCTGGGAGAGCTGCTCCTGCCAGGAGCCCAGCGGGCGCCAGGTTACGCACTCCAACTCGTGGGAGCCAGGGCTCGAAGGCACGTGGCAGAAGCCGTACCCATAGAGCTCGGTGCGGCCAAAGGAGTCTTGGTGCCATACCTGGACATGGAGCTTGGGCCAGCCTGGCATGAGAAGAGAGAGAGAGAGAGAGAGAGAATAACAAACAGAAATGGAAATGAATGTATAGCAGGCACGGGCAAACTTCGGCCCACCCCATGTTTTGGACTTCAACTCCCACAATTCAACTCCCACCCTGTGGAAGTTGAAGTCCAAAACACCAGGTGGGCTGAAGTTTGCCCATGCCTGATATATAGCATTGCCATCATATCCTGTCTGATCTCTGAAGCTAAGCAAAGTCAGGGCTAGTTAGCACTTGGAAGAGTGACCACATCAGGTGCTGAAAGAAGCCCTGGGTGGGCTGTGGGTTAAACCCCTRTGCCGGCAGGACTGAAGACCGACAGGTCGCAGGTTCGAATCCGGGGAGAGGCAGATGAGTTCCCTCTATCAGCTCCAGCTCCTCATGCGGGGACATGAGAGAAGCCTCCCACAAAGATGATAAAAACATCAAAAATCATCCAGGCGTCCCCTGGGCAACATCCTTGCAGACGGCCAATTCTCTCACACCAGAAGTGACTTGCAGTTTCTGAAGTCGCTCCTGACATGACCAAAAAAAAAAAAAAAGTGCTGAATGTTGTACCTTAACAGACAATAATGGCAAATCACATCTGATTACACCATGTAACACAATTTTTTTGTTCCTGGGTTACAAATGTCATATGAAACTCCTTTCCTGGTGAAATTAGAGCAGACCCCTCCCTCCTGACATTCAGGAAGAAAGTAGAAATGTGGTTATGTGACCAAGCTTTCAGACAGCAAAGTTCGTAGTGCAATAAGATAATAAGGAATAGTGAACGGACCAATGGAACGACTACAGACTCAGACTACAGACTCAATGGAATGACTACAGCTTTTTGGGCCCTGCTGCAGGAGAGACCCTGGGGTCTGAGTACTGTCATCCAGCTTTGCTTCCTGCTCAGTCCTGGGCTTACCCAGGAGGAGACCCGCAGCCACACCCTCATTCCAGCCAGCTGACCCAGCTGCCTCCAAGGAGAGAACATGGCCCCTGCAGCCTTGTCGCGTGCCTACTTTAATGGCTACGCCACCCATCACCCGGCTGCCGGAACAACTAGGAACCCCCAGTGGTGTAGTGGGTTAAACCCCTGTGTCAGCAGGACTGAAGAGCGACAGGTTGCAGGTTCAAATCCGGGGAGAGCACGGATGAGCTCCCTTTGTCAGCTCCAGCTCCTCATGCAGGGACATGAGAGAAGCCTCCCACAAGGATGATAAAACATCAAAACATCTGGGTGTCCCCTGGGCAACATCCTTGCAGACGGCCAATTCTCTCACACCAGAAGCGACTTGCAGTTTCTCAAGCCACTCTGACACGACAAAAAAAAAACCCTGTGTATGCTTAAAATGATGTTTATTATTATATGTGTAATGCAGCATTGTATGCCATGGACTGTAAGCTGCCCTGAGTCTCCCACTAGGGTGAGAAGGGTGGGGTATAAATGTAGAATAATAATAATAATAATAATAATAATAATAATAATAATAATAATTTTGGATGGCGTGGTTTTAATAACTGTTTTTAAATCATGATGCTTATCTGTGTTTTAATATAAATGTTATTATATTATCAATGTTTAATTTTTTATGCTTTATGTCTAAATGTTCTTTTATGTTTATGTTTTAATTTGGTTAGGTTAATTTATAGCTATGTTATTGTCTGGCTATTATGTTTTGGTTTTCACATATATGTATGCCATTGAATTTTGCCTTTATAATGTTGGAAATCACTTTGAGTTCACTTAGGGGGAGAAAAGCTGTATATAAATGTAGTAAATAATCATCATCATCATAACCATCATAATAAAATGGAAAAGCTGACACGATATGAGGATTTAAAGATCGAACTGCAAAGACTCTGGCACAAACCAGTAAAGGTGGTCCAAGTGATGATCAGCACACTGGGTGCAGCGCCTAAAGACCTTGGCCTGCACTTAAACACAATCGGCGCTGACAAAATTATCATCTGCCAGTTGCAAAAGGCCACCCTACTGGGATCGGCACACATTAATCGCTGAGACATCACACAGTCCTAGACACTTGGGAAGTGTCTGACGTGTGATCCAATACAACAGCTAGCAGAGTGATCTTGTTTGCTGTGGACTCATCTTGGTTGTGTTTCAAATAAACAAATAAATAAATAAATAATACATTTCCTAATTGTATCTATTATAAAAAACATGGAAAAGTTTAATAAAGTGCAAAAACTTTGATTCTGTGGGACATACTGCAGCACATTTGGCTCTAGTTTTTCAATGAATTCTTCAATGAACCTTAGGAAAAACTTTCTGACTGTGAGAGCTGTTCAGCAGTGGAACTCTCTGCCTCAGAGTGTAGTGGAGGCTCCTTCTTTGGAGGCTTTGAAACAGAGATGGATGGCCATCTGTCGGGGATGCTTTGAATGCAATTTTCCTGCTTCTTGGCAGAATGGGGTTGAAATACACAGCCCTTCAGGTGTTTGTTGGACTGCAACTCCATCACACAGGCTCTCTGGAAAATCTTAGTTATAAATTTGTAAATAAATCTGATTTTCCTCCTCTGTCATGCTGCTACCTTGTCTTCTTTCTTTCCCTATGTGCTCCTACTATATCAAAAGTGAGGTTTGCCTTCTCCTTGGAGCTTGTCTTTGTAGATTATGCTGCTTTATGATGAAGCAGAGCGGGCCATGCTTCATGAGGATTCGAGCCTGGCATGCTGCACTTTGCTCAAAAATGCCACACAACTTGTGCATTTCCTGCCTTTGGGCACCTTTTTTTACAACCCTCTTTGTATTAATAGATCCGTCACTTGAGGATAAGTCTGTATCCATCACATCAAGTAAGTTCTAGTCCAAACATACTCTGGTCACCAAAATAACCTATTTTCAAAATGGTATTAGATTCATTACTGTTTTATGAGCAGTAAAGCCATTTATGCAGTTTATTTAAAATCCTTTCATACTGCCTCTGAAGATAAATGTAATAATCTCAAAGTTTTGTCGAAGGATTCATGGCTGGAATCACTCGGTTGTTGTAAGTCTTTCACATTGTATAGCCATGTTCCAGAAGCATTCTCTCCTGATGTTTTGCCTGCAGAGGTTGTGAGGTCAGACTTTACAATCTCTGAGGATGCCTGCCATAGATGCAGGTGAAACATCAGGAGAGAAGGCTTCTGGAATATGGACATACAGCCTGGAAGACTTACAACAACCCAATCTCAAAGTTCTTCATGAAATGGAAAAACATAAACCAGTAAAGTAATGATCTGTAAGGTTTCTCCTTGACATTAAGCCTAGTTGTGTCCGACACTGGGGGTGGTGCTCATTTCCATTTCTAAGCTGAAGAACCGGTGTTGTCCATAGAAGACTCCTAGGTCATGTGGCCAGCATGACTGCATGGAGTGCCGTTACCTTCCTACAGAAGTGGTAGAATCATAGAATAGAATCATAGAATCAAAGAGTTGGAAGAGACCTCATGGGCCATCCAGTCCAACCCCATTCTGCCAAGAAGCAGGAATATTGCATTCAAATCACCTCTGACAGATGGCCATCCAGCCTCTGTTTAAAAGCTTCCAAAGAAGGAGCCTCCACCACACTCCGGGGCAGAGAGTTCCACTGCTGAACGGCTCTCACAGTCAGGAATTCTCCCTCATGTTCAGATGGAATCTCCTCTCTGGTACCTATTGATCTACTCCAATTTGCATGTTTTCTAACTGCTAAGTTGGCAGGAGCTGGACCTAACAGCGGGAGCTCACCCCGCTCCCTGAATTTGAACTACCAACCTTTCAGTCATCAAGTTCAGCAGCTCAATGGTTTAAGCCGCTGCACCACCAGGGGGCAAGTGATCTATAGATGCTGTGAATTAATCTGATGCAAGTAAAAAAGCAGGAATCTACACTGTAGAATGAATGCAGTTACAAATGCACTTTAACTACTGGATTGCGTTGGACTGCGCCCCTCACTTCTTTAAAACCCTCCTATCAGATATATCCTACCTTATTCATGCCCAGTGTTATTTTTTAAATTTTAAATTATTACATTTGGCCTGGCCAGAGGCTTTTAAATCCTCGTGTGTTATTGTTATATGTGATTTATATTAATTTGTATTGCATTGTATTGTTTTGTTTATTGCTTTCCTGTTTTATTGATGTGTTGTTGGGCTCGGCTTCATGTAATCCGCTCTGAGTCCCTTTGGGGAGATGGTGGCAGGGTATAAATAAAGTTTTATTATATCAATACAGCTCAATGGCAAGGCATTTTGGGAGCTGTAGCTTTACCAGGTCTTTAGCCTTCTCTGCAAAGAGTGCTGGTGCCTCACCAAACTACAACTCCCAGGTTTCAGCAGCACTGAGCGAAGTACAGTAGAGTCTCGCTGTTCCAACCTTCACTCATCCAATGTTCTGTATTATCCAACGCAGTCTGCCTCCCGCACGGATCCACAGCTGTTTCAATATACTGTGATGTTTTGGTGCTACATTCATAAATAGAGTAATTACTATATAACGTGACCGTGTATTGAACTGGTTTTTTCTGTCAATTTCTTGTAAAACATGATGTTTTGGTGCTGAATTTGTAAAATGGTAATGTAATGTTACGTTTAATAGGCTTTTCCTTAATCCCTCCTTATTATCCAACATTTTCTGGTTCTGCCGGCCAGTTTATGTTGGATAAGCGAGACTCCACTGTAATGTCAAGCTATAAATACTACATAGGATGATGAGGAAATTATTCTGATCTTACACTGACTTTCTATTTTCCATTCTCTTTTTCACAGCCAGATCTTGCATCGCTTACCCTGCTGCTACAGAGTTCACATTTCATCTTTAGCCAAGGTACCGCTGGTTTGTGCGGGTTTGTTTTTTTAAAAAATCATTGGAGCTCAAGCACAGGATTCCTGGCAATAAAGAAAGCCAGGGAAGCGTGATTTATTAATTATGTAGAGTCTCATCAGCCGGGAAAGGAAATGAACATGGTGGGAGACTTTCGGCAGCTTTTCCGCATCACTCCACTTTCCCCCATGAGCTTTTTCACCCCCCAGTTTTCCGGTTCAGGCTCGGCTTCGTCTGAAAAGAAGCAGCGGAGGGGCTCCTGCAAAACAAACCGGCTTTGCAGCAGATGCACAAAAGGGAGCCCGCTCCAGCATTTAATCCTCCGCCAATTCCAACAGGCTTCCCCTGCAGTCGGCTGGTTTCCGAGTCCTTTTGTCTGGCAGAGCAAATACTACACGTGGATTAATTTCCCCTTATAAGGCCAATCACATCAAAGGTAATAATGTGCAGGGCGGAAAAGCGATATGAAAAAAAGGGAACCCAAAACTGCAAGGTTCTCCAAGTCTCCATTAATAGCAGGTGCTAGAAGTTAAGACAGTGGGAAAGGACTCTAAATACCATCCTCTCAAGTTCCCAAAAGGCCCTATTTTGGGGAAATTGGAGGAAAGTCGCAGAATGAAAAAGGAAAGTGGAATTCATAGTGGATTTCACATCATCTCAATGGAGAGATGGCTAAATGAAGCTTTCACGTGTGAGAAAGTCTCGCACGTGGGTTGCTCTCTACTTTTGGTTTAAAACCCTCCTACTAGAGACATCCTCTGTTCATGTCCAGCATTTATTTTTAAAGTTTTAACTATTACATCTGGCCCAGCCATAGGTTTTTAAATTCTTATGTGTTATTGTCCACCTGTGAGTTATATTTATTGTATTGTTTATTTTTGTTTATTGCTTGTTGCTTTTATTATTGCTTGTTTTTGATGTGTTGTTGGGCTTGGCCTCATGTAAACCGCTCCGAGTCCCTAATAATAAAGTATTATTATTTTTATCATTATTATTATTATTATTTGGAGACTAGTCGATATGTAGACCAGTCTATATGTAGTCTAGAAGGGGAGTTGAAAAAAAATAGCTGCAACTATTGTAATTCCTGACTTTCCTAGAAGCCACTCTTAGAAAGGGATCTAGGAGCCTTAGTACACCACAAGCTAAACATGAGTCAACAATGTGACACAGCAGCTAAAGAAGCCAATGCTATTTTTGGCTGCATCAATAGAAATGTAGTGTCTAGATCCAGAGAAGTAATAGTCTCACTCTATTCTGCTTTAGTCAGATCTCACCTGGAACAGTGTCTAGTTCTCAGACAATTCAAGAAGGATATAGACAAACTGGAATGTGTCAAAAAAAGGAGAATCTATTATTATTATTATTATTATTATTATTATTATTATTATTATTATTATTTTAAACACAAGATAAGTCCACAGCAGACACTCTGCTGGCTGTTGTATTGGATCACACGTTGGACACTTCTCAAGTGTCTAGGACTGTGTGATGTATTTGCGAATAATGCGTGCAGATCCCAGTAGGGTGGTCTTTTGAAGCTGGCAGATGGTAATCTTGTCAGCGCCGATTGTGTTTAAGTGCAGGCCAAGGTCTTTAGGCACTGCACCTAGTGTGCCGATCACCTCTGGGACCACCTTGACTGGTTTGTGCCAGAGTCTTTGCAGTTTGATCTTTAAATCATCATATCATATCAGCTTTTCCAGTTGTTTCTCTTCAATCCTGCTGTCACCTGGCATTGCAACATCGACGGTCCACACTTTGTTTTTTAACACAATCGTGAGGTCAGGAGTATTGTGCTCCAAAACTCTGTCAGTCTGAATTTGGAAGTCCCAGAGGAGTTTGACGTGTTCATTTTTTGTAACTTTTTCAGGCTTGTGATCCCATCACTACTTCTACTACTACTACTACTACTACTACTACTACTACGTCTTCTTCTTCTTCTTCTTCTTCTTCTTATTATTATTATTATTATTATTATTATACACAACAAGATTAGGACACAGCAAACAAGACCACTATGCTGGCTTTTGTATTCGATCACACATCGGGCACTTCACTTAATTACAAAAATGAGAGTCAAGCACTGAAAGGATTAAATGGATGCAATAACTCAGCAAAAGCTGTAGTTCAATATAAACAGGTGTGCCTGTAGTGTTAGTTGCCCTCAGTATGAAGAGGCTTCAGACGGAGAGAGGCTTCAGTGTGAAAGGCCTCAGTAGAGAAGGCTCTAGTGTGAAGCAGGCGACAGTTAATAGGCCTCGGTGTGAGGATGGCCTGGTGTGAGAAGGCTTCGGTGAGAGAAGCCCTAGGTTGAAGGCCTCATGTGAAGCTCCTGTGAAAGTTTGGTGTGAGAGGAAGCTCAGTGAGAGTGAACATGTTTATCTGCATGAGAAAGAAGCCCAGTGTGGAAGCAAAGAAGGAAGTATAAATACATTTGTTTGTGTTATGGGAACCTTGTTCTTGTAAATAGTACAACCATACTATTTTGCTATTTAAAAGCCTCCTAAGCAAGAGATAACATTGCTCTGTGTGTTTTTGTTCTTTTCATCACTTTGGGCTACTGGTGCTGCTAATAGGTTACTCTGCTGTGTATTTATGAGAAGGGTCTTTTGTTAATAAGCCCATTCACCCAAGAGAGGCAACTGGCACCTGCTCTTCGCAGAGCTTCTTACCTTGCAAGCCTTTGGTGGCAAAATGGACGTCGATTGGATGGGACCAATAGGCCACGTCATCCAGCTGAGGGTGGTCAACTTGCGTCTGTCCTTCCCGGAGTCCTGACAGCAGCTTCCAGGCCCCTCCTGAGAAAAACACAGAGATGGGGAAGAAGAGAGAGTCTCTGCATATGTATACGTATATGTGTATGTGTGTTTGTGTGTGTATGCATGTGTATATATATGTGTGTGTATGTGTGTGTGTTGGCTCTCTGTATCCATGGATTCCCCATCCTTGGATTCAACAGCCCTTTGAAGGCAAACATAATGTAAAATAATAAAAATAAAGGTGAAATTCTGAATGCAGCCATCATTGTTTCAAAGAGAGATGCCAGTGATGTAACTCTGCCTTACGTCACTTCTCGACCATTCTCTTTTAGGAGAAGTGTCAAGTCCCAAGCCTTTGAGTGAATGGATCCCAACCTATTGTGCTCCACCGACCTGTGTGGATCCCCCATTTGCAGAAAAGGCTGCTGCGAGGGAATCCGCTGGCTCCCACGATCTGACCAATGACATGGACCTCCGCCATGGACCTGTGATACAGAAAAAGAGACATTTTTAGAAGGAGATGCCAAATCATGTAAGCCAGTGGTTCTCAACTTGTGGGTCTCCAGGTGTTTTGGCCTACAACTTCCCAAAATTCTGCCAACCTAGTAGTTTGAAAACATGCAAATGTGAGTAGATCAATAGGTATTGCTCCAGCGAGAAGGTAAGGGCACTCCATGCAGTCATGCCAGCCACATAACCTTGGAGGTGTCTATGGACAACGCCGGCTCTTCAGCTTAGAAATGGAGATGAGCACCACACCTCAGAGTCAGACACAACTGGGCTTCCTGTCAGGGGAAAACTTTTACCTATTACTACACCATTTAACAACATTTGAAAAGAAATTCTGTTCCTCGTTTGAAAATATTATTTCCTGTTTAGTTGCATGGTACTTACTTTGTAAGTAGTTGTTTTACCCCAGAAACCTCGTTTTTGTGGCTGTCACAAACTATCTTGAATTGGTTGAGATATTCATTGAAAAAGTATAACAAAATGTGCCGCACGATGTCCCTCCCGCGAAAACAAAGTTTTTGCAGTTTACTATACTTTTCCCATGTTTTTATGATAGAGTCAATTAGGAAATGCCATTTATAACCCAGAAAGGAAATTTGTGTTACATAGTATAATAGGACATACAAACCAGGTTACATGTTTTAGAACAGGCATGGGCAAACTTGGGCCCTCCAGGTGTTTTGGACTTCAACTCCCACAATTCCTAACAGCCTCTGTTTCCTTCCCTTTCCCCCTCAGTCGCCACACACACACACACACACACACACACACACACACACAAAGCAATAATGTTATTTATTTATATTTATATGGATAAAACAGTTGAATTGCATTAAAAACAAACAAACAAGCAAACAAAACACAAAGTTTGCAGACTTGGTATTCTATTAAATGTCCTTTGACCAGTAGCTGGCCACT